TTCTCCTGTCGTGTGTGTGTGTGTGTGTGTGTGTGTGTGTGTGTGTGTGTGTGTGTGTGTGTGTGTGTGTGTGTGTGTGTGTGTGTGTGTGTGTGTGTGTGTGTGTGTGTGTGTGTGTGTGTGTGTGTGTGTGTGTGTGTGTGTGTGTGTGTGTGTGTGTGTGTGTGTGTGTGTGTGTGTGTGTGTGTGTGTGTGTGTGTGTGTGTGTGTGTGTGTGTGTGTGTGTGTGTGTGTGTGTGTGTGTGTGTGTGTGTGTGTGTGTGTGTGTGTGTGTGTGTGTGTGTGTGTGTGTGTGTGTGTGTGTGTGTGTGTGTGTGTGTGTGTGTGTGTGTACGTGTGTGTGTGTGTGTGTGTGTTGGGTACGATTACTAGTTAATAAATAATGATTATGTCGTCTGTTTTGTGTCGTGAGTCCACCTCCAGGAACCATTAATTTAAAGTCTTATCCATTATGTTGGAACTTAATGATGCTCCCATGAACCCTCCTCCTGAGTTATATAAATCAAGTGAGATTGGACAACATGCCTGGGTCTGGGTGATCAAACACGACCATCAGTGGCAGTGTTGACTATACCCGTGTTTACAGTATCCCAGCCTCTGTATTATTAAGGTAAATCCTCTTGATCTGCTCACTGGCAGTACGTGGCTCAAGTCCAACGTGTAATACAGGACGTGCAGTGTACGAGCTCTCTCACAGGGAGGAGAGACTGTAACATAACAAGCATAGAGATGACAGGCACAGCTCAGTCCATCAGATTACCAGGAGAGATAGATAGATAGAGATAACTCGTGAACGTGTTTACGGATTTGCACCAAATTTGGAAGGTCTGATCGAGATATGACAAGGTCCACATGGCCTAGTAAGCTGTTGGTGCCAATCTAATTTATCCCATGGTTACAGGGGTTTACGGGGGTTAAAAAAAAAAGCAATGGATTTTTTCTTTTAGAGGTTCAAGAAAACATGGGGTCTTATGGGAGTATAAAAGAAAACGTTAACATGACAGTCTCTAGCAGTAACTACATTAATTTACAAGACGCGTGCCATTAGTTCTATATATACCTCGCTATGGTAATGGTTCGTGAGAGGTTTTGTCTGCGCTTGGTTGATGCTTAATGCGTTGTGGTTGTAGTATTGTTGAGGTGGTGGTGGTGGTGTTGTATTGTTGTGGTTAGTTAAGGTGTTATGTGTATTACTTATGTTGATGTGACCCCTTCTTCCCCTCATCCCTCCTTCCCCTCATCCCCTCCTCCCCTCACCCCTCCTCCTTCACTCCCCCCCTTCACCCCCCCTTCACTCCTCCTTCCCTCACTCCTTCCCTCCTCCTCCTTCCCTCACTCCTCCTTCCCTCTCCTCCTTCCCTCCTCCTCCTTCCCCTCACCCCTCCTCCTACCCCCTCACTGCTCCTCCCCTTACTCCAACCACTCGCCTACTCTCACCACCTGTTGACTCCCTCACTCACCCTCCACTCTTCTACACTCATCCACCCCTCCTCTGCCCACCCCTCCGCACTCTGCCCACCACCCCTCACTCAACCCGCTCGCTCCACGCACTCTGCCCACCTCCTCCTCCACCCCACCCCTCCTCCTCTGCCCACCCTCCTCCTCTGCCCGCCACCCCTCCTCTGCCCGCCCACCCCCCACTCTGCCCGCCCTCCCCTCACTCTGCCCCGCCCACCCCTCCTCTGCCCGCCCACCCCTCCTCCCGCCCACCCCTCACTCTGCCCGCCCACCCGCTAATTCACCCGCCCACCCCTCCTCTGCCCGCCCACCCCTCCTCTGCCCCCTCACTCTGCCCGCCCACCCCTTCATTCTGCCCACCCTCCTCACTCTGCCCTCCCTCCTCTGCCCCACCCACTCCTAACTCTGCCCCCCCCTCCCTAACTTTGCCCACCCTCCTCACTCTGCCCACCCTCCCCTAACTTTGCCCCACCCTCCCCTAACTTGCTTTTTACCTCCCTTTGCCCTCCTCCTCCTCTGCCCGCCACCCCCCTCCCACTCTGCCCGCCCCACCCCTTCATTCTGCCCCCCACTCCTCTGCCCCACCCTCCCTAACTTTGCCCCACCCACTCCTCACTCTGCCCCACTCCTCCTCACTCTGCCCACCCACTCCTCACTCTGCCCACCCACTCCTCACTCTGCCCCACCACCCCTCACTCTGCCCACCCACCCTTCACTCTGCCCGCCCACTCCATTCACCCAGAGATCCTTCACTTTTAATTAATAACGGGAGCGTAAATATGTGTTTAATTAGTTTGACAGCTTTTCTTTATTTTGTGAATTTATTATTATTTTAGTTTACACTGAACAAAGAGGATAGAACAATTGAATGACAATAATCTAGACAGTGAATGTTTTCTATAGTGTGTGTGTGTGTGTGTGTGTGTGTGTGTGTGTGTGTGTGTGTGTGTGTGTGTCCAACAATGTCTACATTATTTCTTGGCATCATACTTCTTATATTTATTACGCGAAAATCATAGGTTACCTCGCCAGCCTATTGGATACTTACAAGCCAGAGGTGCGTATGTGGCGTAGATTATACAGGTATGAAAGGTGTGTGTATATGGCGTGGATTATACAGGTATAGAAGGTGTGCGTAGGTGGCGTATATTATACAGGTATGGAAGGTGTGCATAGGTGGCGTAGATTATACAGGTATGGGAGGTGTGTGTATATGGCCTAGATTATACAGGTATGGAAGATGTGCTGGTGTTGATATCCCTCCTCCTCCTCTCCTCTTTCTTTTCTTCTTCATCTGTTCATTCTTCATTTCCCAACCCTCTTCTCCCTTCTTCCTTATACCCCACCTCAATTATCCCTCCCTTTTTTGTCTGGCTGAATATCTCTGTCTGTCTGTCTGTCTGTCTGTCTGTCTGTCTGTCTGTCTGTCACCATCCCCACAAACAAACAAATAATTAATAGCATCTCAATAATATCAACAGTAAACCCTCACTGGCATCCCCTTGTGATAATTAGGACAGCGGCGGCGTCAATTAGCAGTAAATGAACTAATTATCAGACTCGATAAAACAATAGTATAACGAGGGTATTGGTTAACGTTAATGAAACGCTCAGTGGCGGTGAGGGTCAACGAGTCAATTAATGAAGCAGGCGAGTGTTGTCATTGGTCGTATTTCTCATCGATTAAATGGTGATGTTTGACGTAGAAGGAAGGTATTTTACCGAGTTTGTCAAATGTTGTTGTGTTGTTTTAAATTTCGAAAGAACAGCGTAACGAACTATTGCTGGTAAATTGTGTTATTAATTATTTTTATTATTTTATTATTATATTTACTATTATTATTAACAGATCAAAAAATTTTCATACTATTACATCTCCCCGTTTCTTTCCGCCTCCCCCGTCTTTTCTCCATTCCTTCTTTCCTCTCTTCTTTTCGTCCTCCCTTTACTTATATATTTCCTCCTTTCCATCCATCCTTTCTTCCCTCCATCCTCTATTCCACTCTTCCCTCACTGAAATTGAATCCAACTGCTTGATCATTGAGATTACGAGGGAGGGAGGGGAGGGTGAGGGGGGGGGGTGTCCATCCTACCCCCTCAACTCTATCAGTTTTGTGTTGTAAAGTTTGGGTATAGAGTCGCCAGGTGGCCCTTAACAAAGATTAAATTCCATGAGATGATTGAGTCATGCCTGAGGGCTCTTGGTGTGGTGGTCCGTTAGGTAATGCAGAACGACGCGTTTAACTGTTTAGTTGTGACGAGGACGTGGGGAGGACGTGGGGAGTGTATGAGTGTTTAAATTATATACATGTGTTTGTACGTATTTGTTTGTCAGTAAGTTTGTGAAGACGTGTGTCCGTGTTTGTTTACATGGGTAGTGAGGCGTGTGTGCTGTGTAGAGGCACTCCAGTGGTCACCCAGCACGGGAAGTTCATAATGTAAACACTAACCTTACTATGTCCTGTTGATTTAACAGGGGCTGGCGTCAGGGGAAGCCCGGAGAGGGGCGGGGTGACGTGGCCCTTGTGAGGAGCCCCTGGGGTGTCCACGACCCCCAGGGGAGGATCGCTACCGGCGACCCAAGTAACACGTGCCCACGCCCCCAACCCACGCCCCGCCATGAACATCGCCAAGCTGCGACACACGTTTATGCGGTCTCGGACGCCCACGGGCGCCGAGATGAAGCAACAGAACAGCTTGGATGTTCCGCCGCAGATCCGCTCTGCTTCATTCGACGAGATGCAGCTCAAGCCGGGACGGCGAGAGTCGTCGTCGTCGTCCTCGTCACCCGCGGAACGGCAGTCCTTTCTGCTCCGCGTGCCCTACCTCGGCCCAAAACGTTCCAAGAGTTTCGACTCTGGTTGTGGCGACGTCGACGACACCGACTCCTCGTCCCGCAAGAAGAACTCGCGTCCATCCTCACTTGACAAGGCGAGCCACCAGTGCGTCCACTGTGTGTATATAGAATCGCTGTCACGACGCTTTGGCTGTGAGGGCAGAAGAATTCCCTACAACATGTCACTTGACTTCGTGAGCAGTCTGGACAGCTCGCGTGAGGAGGTGGAGGACGAGGAGGACGAGGACTGGGACGAGGACAGCTCGAGTGACGAGCTGCACGAGGTGATCTGTCGCATCAAGGTAACGCTCAGTCCTAACTCACCGTCGTCGGCGTCGCCCACGCAGGAAGAAGCACCGACTAGCGTGGCCACGGCGCCGCGCAGTAAAACAGTCTCTCCTAAGTTGGAGCGTCAACCTGCCATCTTCTGTATGAACACGAGCACCGAGCTCAGTTCACAGGAGAACAGTTTTGATTTAAGTGATGGTGGATATAGCCACCACGGTTCCTTTCAGTACTTGGGTTCCTCTAGTGAGTACGGTGATGGGGAGCAAAGTGGGGAGCAGGGAGGAGGGGAGCAGCAGCAGCAGCAGCAGCAGCAGCAGCAGCAGCAGCAGCAGCAGCAGCAGCAGCAGCTCCACCAGCAGCAGCTCCACCAGCAGCAGCGCGGGAGCAGCAGCAGGGAGGGGTTGGAGGGAAAGGAAGGGGTGACGGACGTGTTCCTGGAGGTGCCGTCTCGCAGGGACAGAGCCGCCTCCCTCGACTTTGCCTTCGCCAGCTTCCCCGACCCGGAGGAACTGCTCAAGTCCGTCACAGCGGGCCTCACGCGCTCAGTCTCCCTCGAACCTCCCAAGTCCCTCCGCTCCAAGAGTATCGACATCGAATTACCAACTGAGGAAGATGGTGACTACAAGGTTGTGGTGACCTCCCCCAAGACGGCCAAGTAGGTCACCCTCAACACTCTGCATGTTCGCTTTACGGCTCTTTACTTGTTTCATCTCTTAAATAATATCCCCCACTGTCCCAAGTCTCTCTCACCTGTAATATATAACGAGGCGCCACCAGCAGGACGAGGTAAGTACTGCAGTGATTATATTCTCTATTTGACTTCTACTGTATACAACATGGTAAGTGATTCATTACCCGAGTTACAAATATTATTTTTCTTTCCACATCATAATCTGGTGGCATCAAATATCACTTATGCTTGTTTGTTTACTTCATAATCACTTGTTTACTCATTAATATTTTATAATTCACATTTTCGAACTTAATTCCTAACTCACATATTTAAAACAGTATTACATGCTTACTTGATTGTTATTACCTAATTACTTACACACCTAATATTACCTCCTTACAACACCTAACTCACTCACTGTCAGCAGGTGTTTCTCAGGTGCAGGCGTTGGAACCCTCCTCCCCTCCCCCTCCCTCTCCCTCTGGTGACAGGTGGGCAGGCAGACAGGGTACAGCAACAGGTGGGGCAGGCAGACAGGGGTACAGGGAGCACAGGTGGGCAGGCAGACAGGGGTACAGGGGGCAACAGGTGGGGCAGACTGACAGGGTACAGGGAGCAACAGGTGGGGCAGGCAGACAGGGGTACAGGGAGCAACAGGTGGGGCAGGCAGACAGGGGTACAGGGGGCAACAGGTGGGGGCAGACTGACAGGGTACAGGGAGCAACAGGTGGGGCAGGCAGACAGGGGTACAGGGCCACAGGTGGAGCAGGCAGACAAGGGTACAGGGGGGCAACAGGTGGGGCAGACTGACAGGGGTACAGGGGCAACAGGTGGGGCAGGCAGACAGGGGTACAGGGAGCAACAGGTGGGGTAGGTAGACAGGGCAACAGGGGCAACAGGTGGGGCAGACTGACAGGGGCAGGGGGGCAACAAGTGGGGCAGGCAGACAAGGTACAGGTGGGGGCAACAGGTGGGGCAGACTGACAGGGTACAGGGGGCAACAGGTGGGGCAGGCAGACAGGGGGTACAGGGAGCAACAGGTGGGGCAGGCAGACAGGTACAGAAGCAGCAGGGGGGCAGACATGGGTACAGGGAGCAACAGGGCAGGCAGACGGCACAGGAAGTAACAGGTGGGCAGGTGGGCAATAGGAGCAATGGCAGCCCCAGATATGAGCCGATCGATGGCGTTGTGTAGTCCTCACAGAGACGTGGGAGCTTAACACATTCTCTCTCTCTCTCTCTCTCCACCTTATGCTGCTACTGCCTTTCAGCCTATTTTCTTTCATTCACTTTTTTCTTTCTCCCTTCTCGTCGCCTTTTCCTCACTGGCAAGCTTAAATATAGGCTGGGCTGTTATATGAGCGATAGCGGTTGGTTGTAAACGGGGCTGTCTAGTATGGGCCAATAGTCTCGCTGTAGATCTCCTCCATTCTTATGTTCCTCCCCACACATACGTCCTTTACAGTAGTGTGTGTGTGTGTGCGTGTGCCATAGGCTAACAGCTCTGGAAACATCTATTTAATATAACCGACACAGACGCACAAACCAACAAACATGTCACAACCTTGAGAGTTTAATCTTCCTTAATTTTTAATATAATAGTGTAATGCCTAACCTATTTACACGCTTAAAGACCTTAATAGTTAAAGCACAGTAATAACATCAAAACAACCACATCATGATGTTATTGGACTTTATATAAAATAAATTTATAACTATTAATTCTGACCTTGTACTGAAACTCACAATTTAATTTAGTCTTTTATTTCCTGGTGTCACAGTTGATCTCCTAAATATACTGTATATATTAAAAAACACATAAATAAATATAAATATGGTGGTATATGCAAACTCACAATCTGTCACTGCTGTTCCCAATTTACATATTTCATGCGCTATAAAAAATACCCAATTTTTTTTTGTATCTGCAATTAAAAAAAAAACAATCCTTGAAATAGTCATTGTTAACCTAACCTAACCAACCCTTACCTAACCTAACCGAACCTAATCTAACCTTATTTAACTTACACCAGAAAAAGAATCACGTATCGTTATCTTTTTTTATTCAATTCGTTGTTTATGCCTGAATAAATTTACTTATGATATTTTTACTCTTTTGAATTGTTGTTGTTTTGATATTTTCTTCATTAGTCTCTTTCTCTCTCACTTATCTTCTCCTCCTCTTCCGCTTTCCCTTTGTCTCCTCTCATTCTACCTCATTAAGACCTCTCCCTATTCCCCCTTCCCATTAATCTACCTTCTTAGGAAACCTACCTTACTCCCACACCTCCCATTATATTAAATCATTCCCTTTAATCTATGTTTCTGGGCCATTAAACTTACCCCATTATTTTGTGTTTTAAGGACCCCCAACCTACACCACACCCCCCATTATGTAAACCCATCACCCATTAATCTCAGTTTCTGGTCCTCCCTAACCTACCCCTTACACCCCCCATTATATAAGACCATTCCCCCCCATTATATAACACCATCTCCCATTATATACACCATCCCCATTATCTCTTACCATCTACGTTATATAACACCATCCCCCGTTATATAACACCATCCCCCCATTACATAACACCATCCCCCCATTACATAACACCATCCCCCATGCCTATAACACCATCCCCCATTACATAACACCATCCCCCATTCACATACCATCCCCCATTATATCTTTATCCCCCCATTATATAACACCACCATCCCCATTATGTAACACCATCCCCCATTATATATTACTATCCCCGTTATATAACACCATCATTACATATCATCTGAGTAATAACACCATCCCCTCATTATATATACTACCCCCCATTATATATACCATCCCCCCGTTATATAGCCTACCATCCCCCATTATATAACACCATCCCCCATTATATAACATAAGCTCCCCCATTATATAACACCACATCCCCCATTACATAACACCATCCCCCATTATATAACACCATCCCCTCATTATATAACACTACCCCCCATTATATAACACCATCCCCATTATATAACACCATCCCCCCCATTATATAACACCATCCCCCCCCATTATAAACCATCCCCCATTATATAACACCATCCCCTCATTAACCTGGTGCTCGTTTGGTGTCCACAGGAAGGCCATCAACTCTGAGGTGGAGATCCAGTGTGAGAATGGCGAGCGTCGGGTCCTGCGCTCCACCTGCGACTGGAATGAAGGAGCCATCAACGGGGACCATCTGTGGTGCCCAACCTCAGCCTCCGGCGACTTTTGCTACGTCGGCGAGGACAACTGCTGCGTGAGTACCTGCTGGTGGTGTTCTTATGGTGTTGGTGTAATTCTACCACTATGTGTGTGGGGAGAGTTTGTTTTATGTTAGTGGTTAATTACGTTTTAGTAATTTTGTGAGTTTGCAGGTGATGTTGGGGTTAATTAACTTTACCTTCAGGGATGTTCTTGGTTAGGGTTGATTAACTGTACTTTGGGTGCCTTAAAAGGTTAATTTTTACCTTCAGGATGTTCTTAGAGATGAGGTTGATTAACTGTACCTTTAGGGGATGTTCTTAAGAGTTATTAACTTTATTCAGGGATGCATAAGATAGTTAATTCTGTACCTTCAGGGGAAGTTCTTAAGTTGAGGGTTAATTTACTCTACCTTCAGGGAAGTTCTTAAGTTGGGGTTATTACTCTACCTTCAGGGATGTTCTTAAGTTGGGTTTTCCCCAGGAGTTCTTAAGTTGGTTAATTTACTCCTTCAGGGATGTTCTTAAGGTTATTTCTACCTTCGGGGGATGTTCTTAAGTTAGGGGTTAATTTACTCTACCTTCAGGGGATGTTCTTAAGTTAGAGGTTAATTTACTCTACCTTCAGGGGATGTTCTTAAGTTAGGGGTTAATTTACTCTTCATTGGATGTTCTAGTAGAGGTTAATTCTCTACGTTCAGGGGATGTTCTTAGTTAGAGGTTAATTTACTCTACCTTCAGGGGATGTTCTTGAGTTTGAGGGTTAATTTCTCTACCTTCAGGGGATGTTCTTAGTTGGGTTAATTTACTCTACCTTCGGGGATGTTCTTAAGTTAGAGATTAATTGGCTCTACTTCTGACCAGTGAAGATGTAGGTTTACTCAGTAGGAAAAAATGTTTATTGAATCAATTACCTTACCTAAAAAAATATCGTCTTATTTACGTATTAAGAATTCTTCAAAAAATTAAAAATAGATAAATAAATAAGACATCAAAGAGTATCGGACTACGTTAGTGATATTAATTAATGTGGTTTTTTCGTCGGCATTAACGTGGTTTAAAAATCTTCGTGTAAATATGTAGGAAAAACCACGATATATCACAAAATAATATATCTTGCGTAATATAATTATAGTTTACTTAATATAAAATTTTAAAATATACTTTATGATATACTTTGATAGACTTAATATACTTAATTTATAAAACAAGACACTTAGTATTAATTTATATTGTTGACTCGAAATATTTACCATTAAACTTGACCCATTTTTGCCAGAGGTTTTGTTTATACTCTCCGTTTTTGTGATGCCAGGGAGGTTTGTTTAATGTCAACATATATTACCTCCACAGCAATACTAATGGCGTCGTTTAGCCAAATGGGCGGCATTTTAGCGACATTAGAGCTGATGTCATTAGAGGAGGAAGTCGTACAGTTTTAAAAAGAGGAATGAGGAGTATAATTTTCCCGACGTTAGCTCGTTTATTGTGTGTTGAGGTTTATTTCCCCGACCAACTGTCCGTGTAGCACGAATGTGGAAACTAATTTGAATTATTCGCTAAAAAAAGAGCATGTGTCTAAAAAGAGCATGGGTAACTTAAAGCAGCATGGATCGCTAAAAAGAGCATGGGTCACTAAAAAAGAGCATGTGTTTAAAAGAGCATGGGTAACTTAAAACAGCATGGATCGCTAAAAAGAGCATGGGTCACTAAAAAAGAGCATGTGTCTAAAAAGAGCATGGGTAACTTAAAACAGCATGGATCTCTAAAAAGAGCATTGGTGCCTAGAAAGAGCATGGATCGCTAAAGAACATGGCTCGCTTAAAGCAGCGTAGGTTGTTAAAAAGAGCATGGATCGCTAAAAACAAAAACAAATTTCTAACTAAAAAGAACATGGCTCGCTAAAACATAAAAAAAAAAATCTCCAAACAAAGAGATTTAATTTTTTTCTCCACGTTTTTACTCGTGTTTATTAGCTTAGTCAGCCATTTATTCAGATCATCATTTTTAATTCCCGTGTTATTGCGTTACTTATATTTCACTCTTCCAATAATTATTCGACCGATTTATGTCTTTCCAAAATAACTTGTATATTACTTTGTGTATATCCGTGAAGCCTTCGTTCATTTTGACAATAGATGATAATGCATAACGTGGGCTTTCGTTCACGAGTTTAGAACGATAATGATGAATGATAGTGAATGATAATGGAGGATGATGAATGATAATGGGTAATGATGAATGATAATGGGTAATGATGAATGATAGCGACTGACAATGTATAATGATGAATGACAGTGAATGATAATGGATAATGATGAATGATAGTGAATGATAATGAAAGATGATGAATGATAATGAATGATAAGGGAGGATGATGAATGATGATGAATGATAGTGAATATTAATGGATAATAATGAATAATGATGAATGATAGTGAATAATGAATGATAGTGAATGATAATAAATGATGATGAATGATAGCGACAATGTATAATGATGAATGATAATGAATAATGATGAATGATAGTGAATGCTAAAATTACAATAAATGGTGATAATAACCGGGAAGTAATTTAATTGGGATGAGAATAACTGACACACAGACGGACGGACAGACGAACTGACACATAGACGGACGGACAGACGAATTGACACACACACACACACACACACACAGACGGACGGACAGACGAACTGACATAGATGGACGGACTGACAGACGGACGAACTTGGACGTAGACATAGACAGACACTGACAGACGGACGGACTTTCGGACTGTCGGATTCGAACGTAGACAGATACAAACAGACGGATTGACAGACGGACTTTCAGACTGTAGGATTTTGATGTAAACAGACACAGAGAGACGGACAGAGATAGATAGAGACAGATAGACAGAAATAGATAGACACAGACAGACAGAAATAGATAGACACAGACAGACAGACAGACAGACAGACAGATTGCCTCACGTTCACACACTCTAGTCACGTCACGTCTCTTGCCATTGCGGTCGTTAATGGGATGTGAATTATATGTAGTGAGCGTACCTGTGTCGCGGGTGGTGGTGGGTGTTGTACCTGTGTCGCGGGTGGTGGTGGGTGTTGTACCTGTGTCGCGGGTGGTGGTGGGTGTTGTACCTGTGTCGCGGTGGTGGGTGTTGTACCTGTGTCGCGGGTGGTGATGGTGGACGTTGTACCTGTGTCGCGGGTGGTGGTGGTGTTGTACCTGTGTCGCGGGTGGTGGTGGGTGTTGTACCTGTGTCGCGGGTGGTGGTGGGTGTTGTACCTGTGTCGCGGGTGGTGGTGGTGTTGTACCTGTGTCGCGGGTGGTGATGGTGGACGTTGTACCTGTGTCGCGGGTGGTGGTGGGTGTTGTACCTGTGTCGCGGGTGGTGGTGGGTGTTGTACCTGTGTCGCGGGTGGTGGTGGTGTTGTACCTGTGTCGCGGGTGTGGTGGGTGTTGTACCTGTGGCGGGTGGTGGTGGTGTTGTACCTGTGTCGCGGGTGGTGGTGGTGTTGTACCTGTGTCGCGGTGGTGGTGGGTGTTGTACCTGTGTCGCGGGTGGTGGTGGTGTTGTACCTGTGTCGCGGTGGTGGTGGGTGCTGCACCTGTGTCGCGGGTGGTGGTGGGTGTTGTACCTGTGTCGCGGGTGGTGGTGGGTGTTGTACTGTGTCGCGGGTGGTGATGGTGGGTTGCACCTGTGTCGCGGGTGGTGGTGGGTGTTGCACCTGTGTCGCGGGTTGGTGGTGGGTGTTGTACCTGTGTCGCGGGTGGTGGTGGGTGTTGACCTGTGTCGCGGTGGTGGGTGTTGTACCTGTGTAGCGGGTGGTGGTGGTGTTGTACCTGTGTCGCGGGTGGTGTGGTGTTGTACCTGTGTCGTGGGTGGTGTGGTGGGTGTTGTACCCGTGTAGCGGGTGGTGGTGGGTGTTGTACCTGTGTCGCGGTGGTGGTGGGCGTTGTACCTGTGTCGCGGGTGGTGGGGTGTTGTACCTGTGTCGCGGGTGGTGGTGGGTGTTGTACCTGTGTGCGGGTGGTGGTGGTGTTACCCGTGTCGCGGGTGGTGGTGGGTGTTGCACCTGTGTCGTGGGTGGTGGTGGGTGTTGGTACCTGTGTCGCGGTGGTGGTGGTGTTGACCTGGTCGCGGGTGGTGGTGGTGTTGTACCTGTGTCGCGGGTGGTGGTGGTGCTGGTACCCGTGTCGCGGGTGGTGGTGGTGTTGCACTGTGTCGCGGGTGGTGGGTGCTGTACCTGTGTCGCGGGTGGTGGTGGTGTTGTACCTGTGTCGCGGTGGTGGTGGGTGTTGTACCTGTGTCGCGGGTGGTGGTGGGTGTTGTACCTGTGTCGCGGGTGGTGGTGGGTGGTGTTGCACCTGTGTCGCGGGTGGTGGTGGGCGTTGTACCTGTGTCGCGGGTGGTGGTGGGTGGTGTTGTACCTGTGTCGCGGGTGATGGTGGATCGTTGTACCTGGTGTCGCGGTGGTGGTGGGTGTTGTACCTGTGTCGCGGGTGGTGGGGATGGTGTTGTACCTGTGTCGCGGGTGGTGGTGGGTGTTGTACCTGTGTCGCGGGTGGTGGTGGGTGTTGTACCCGTGTCGCGGTGGTGGTGGGGTGGTGCTACATGTGTCGCGGGTGGTGGTGGGTGTTGTACCTGTGTCGCGTGGGTGGTGGTGGTGTTGTACCTGGTCGCGGGTGGTGGTGGACGTTGGTACCTGTGTCGCGGTGGTGGTGGGTGTTGTACCTGTGTCGCGGGTGGTGGTGGTGTTGTACCTGTGTCGCGGGTGGTGGTGGGTGTTGTACCTGTGTCGCGGGTGGTGGTGGGTGTTGCACCTGTGTCGCGGGTGGTGGTGGGTGTTGGACCTGTGTCGCGGGTGGTGGTGGGCGTTGTACCTGTGTCGCGGTGGTGTGGTGGTTGTACCTGTGCGGGTGGTGGTGGGCGTTGTACCTGTGTCGCGGGTGGTGGTGGGCGTTGTACCTGTGTCGCGGGTGGTGGTGGGCGTGTACCTGTGTCGCGGTGGTGATGGTGGACGTTGTACCTGTGTCGCGGGTGGGTG